ATGGGTCCCTCCCTCTTGGTCCCATGTGGAAATGGGAGCACGAGCTTCCAAGCTGCGCCGTGGAAAACGAGCTCAATGCTCTACGTGTTTGATGAGTCCCATGTCCCCAACCACTTTGTTCCTAATAGCTTCTTGTTACTAGTAGGGCCAGGAGCCCCTAGTAGCGTCCTTGTTACTAGTAGTACGGCCAGGAGCCCCTAGTAGCGTCCTTGCTCCTAGTAGCGATATCAGGAGCCCCCAATAGCTTCTTGTTACTAGTAGTAAGGCCAGGAGCCCCATTCGGAGCGTCCGAACGCTCCGTTCGTAGCGATGCCCGAAATGCTCCGAACGTAGCGAACATTGCTCCTATTGCTTGGGCCGCTGGACAGAACACCTCGCTGTGTTCTGGACAGAAAACCTTCACCATGTCCACCCCGTCTCTGGTTCTTTGGATGGGAGTGCTCCATCCATGGGGATTCCATGGAGAAGTCCATCCATGGGAATTCCACTTGATCAAATCACCCTTGTCGCCGAGAAGGGTCAACGAACCCGCTCCTGAAGGGGTATACGGCGAGGGCGCCGCTGGCGCCGCAGGCGGCCTGCGTACAATGGGAGCTCTGCTTGGGAGATTTGGGAGGCTCGTGTCACCGTCACCAACGTGTGGAGTCCAAGTATATAGCTTGGTGTACAGACTGACAGTCAATGAAGAGTTTGAAAGAGTTTGAAAGAAACTTAAATAGTTACAGAAATCAAAATCATCTTTGGGCTAGACACATACAGTCGCGCGCGCAAACACACACACACACATACATACAGTCAAATACACATCTAAAGAGGGGGGTCGCTTGTTGGTGGATGTTTCCCCAACCTCCTCTACTGCACGCTGCACTCTGAATGGTCTTCTGAAACATGGCCCCCATGGTTTCGCACGGTAACACGGTGTTGGCCGTTGTTTTGTATAAATTCAGATAAATCCGTATGTATTAAAGCACCCGGTAGGAGGAGTTTGAGGCATCACAGCAATTTACATGTCACGCATGCCCCTCCAAAAAAGGCGTCTCAGGTTATCTGGGTGCAAGTCATGCTGCTGTGACATGGAACCAACTGCAGCAAGAATTCTCAGGAGACTTGGAAATTGCAAAAGGATGCAAAAGGTTCTTCTCTACACACCAGTGGCTTTGGCTTTACTCAGCTCACACATCAACAAATCCTCGCTCTCAAATGGAGGAGATACCAGAATGTAGTGGAAGATTGCATGCCCAGGAAAACTTCTGCAAACGATAGTTGCGTGTGCAAGCGGTCCTTTGTTTCACCAAAGCTTCTGTGCATGCTTAAAGGTAAAGAAAGTGTAAGAAAGTTAAAGTATATGTCCCCAAAACAGGTACAGCCCTGAGAACCAACCCAACTGAGCTCTGACCACCCAAGCACGCAGCATGCCGCAACTTTATCGAAAGGGTATGCTAAGTCTGTATCAGTTCGTCCGGTGGCAGTGTGCACAGACTTACACTGCGCAGCACCTTCGTGAATTTGCGCGGTCCCAGTGCAGCATCACTGCCATATACAATGCCCCTGACCACCAGCAGTAATTTGTGAAATTCCAAAGCTGTTTATGTTGATGGTACATAGGGACAAGACATGCTCCTTCTGGAGCGATGAAGAAAACTAATTTAGGGGGTTGAAGCCACCAAAGTGGGTCTTTTTTTCGAGTGGGGTTTGCAACTCATGAACAAAAAATATGAGTCACACCATATTTTACACAAATCCGTGGGCCTCTGGGCAACCACTGGACATGGCATCTTGGCATAATGTTCTCTTAAAGGGTATCTGACACAGGACTTCCCCTGGAGCATTGTGCATGCTGCCGGCCGTGCTTCTCTCACGCGCTCTTGCCGTTTCTGTGTTCAGAGTCTTTTGCGGGACGAAGGTCCGAATCAAGTCAACCTCCAAGGATTGTTGTTCACATCTCCAACACGTTTTGAAACCACCTCAGCCCACTGAGCATGCTGCCGGCCGTGCTTTCCTGGGAGTTGGCAGCAGATCTCTGATACTGATGTCTATGCAAGAGCTCTTCATTCTGTACAGCCGACATCCTCGGCCGTTCGGACCCTGGGCGTTGCCACCCGGCGGATTCAAATCTGCCAGACGGTGCCACACCACCAGCGACAGGACACACGCGTCACGTGGGCGTTCACGACCCAACACGCGCATGATTCGGCTCTGATTAAGTGGGTTCGGCTCTCCAAAAAAGGTTTTCACACCCAAAGCGAAGCTTTTGGTCAAGTCTATATGCAAGATTAGGGGTCTTGGGATCTCGCAGGTATTCAGAATCATTGTCAGAATCATTCATAATGTGTAAGCCATCCCAGATAAAAGGCTCTTGGCGACCACAGGTCCACGCAGGATTCAAAGCAAGAAAGACAGGAGCTGGCTTTAGCCCCCGTTAGCAAAGTTCAGGCTCTGATCCCCGTTAGCAAAGTTCAGGCTCAGTTTGCAAGTAGATAGGACGGTGGATGACATCTGATCAAAGGATGAGCACCCCTATATAGTACCTCCCCATGTCGTCACCAACAGAAGAGTGTTTTTTGAGTCTTTGATCTGTGCGGTCATTCCACCAAACAAGAGATTTGTCCAACCTGAAAACATCCTTCTATCATCTTCTATGTTAAAATGGAAGACAGATCCGTGCATGAAAACGACAAAGCCACAGGGGATGAGATCCACGCGTTTGCCGACCTGGTCCGTGCCGAGCCTCATTGAATTGGGTCTGCAGAGTGCGCGCATTGCCGATTTATCCTCAGCGTCTATGTGGGACCTTCAAATGGTTCCCCCATTGCATCTAGCTGAAAATGCTGATCCTTGTGCAGAGGGTTGTGCAAAAGGAATCGATTGAAGATCGAAATAAAATGATTGGGAAATGTTGATAATAGTGCATAGCGCTGAGGAGGCATGCTGCGCGATAACTTCTTGTGCTTGGTTCAAGTTGTTAGCACCAAGGGGCTTATAAGATAACACGGGGTTGCTCCCAAGTCTGCTTGGACACAATTTCACCACCAACACCGACCCATTCCCAAATCCATCAAATTCCACCGGAGACAGCCATGATCATGTTCTCCAACACCAATTCTACCTTGGAGCAGCCCTAAAAATGGATGGCTCGCCGGTCACCCAGCATCTGTACCTCAGGTGCCGGCACCCATCCGCACGTTTCGGCCCAAGACGGCCGCGAGGGTGAGGGCGCGCCCAGCCACCACCGGTGCCCCATGAAGAAAACCGAGTCCACCGGTGGCTCGTTGCGAACTACGCGGGCGCAAACGCCTTAGGAGCTGGCGATGAGCGATGGGAGATGGGCGATGGGTGGGGTGCTTCACAGAAACCCTGGCGTCTTAAGCAATCTTGAATGGAAGTCAAGAGGAAGGAAGATCAATTTGGTCTACCGAGGCAAACATGTCAAGTTCTCCCCCAGACATGGGCTGCAGGGAAAGAAGAAAAGCGACCAAGCCACCTCGTGAATCAGCAATGTGCATCCTCTCGTGGTGTCAGCTTCATGACGTTCCCCATTTCCACTCCTGCCTCTTTCAAGCTCATGCTCTCGTCCAGAACATGTCCTGGAACCGGAGGAAAGGGCTGCTGCAGCCGGTCATCCACAAGTATCTTTCACCGACCTACGCTCCAGAAAATGAACCTGGAACCCGAAAAAGGCTTCTGGAAGACAGGATTGGGTTTTCACCTTAGTTCAGCCGTGTAATGAAAGAATGAATAATTTGCTAAGCAGTGATTACCCCTTCCAGGCATCATCCTTTTCGTTCGGTAGACATCTGCTTCAAAAATGTGCAAACCACTGTGCAAACCTGTATACTGCAGGAATGTACATCTATATATATATATATATGCTGTAATTATATAAGCTTTACCAAACTAAGCAGTTCAGCTCAAACAGAGTTTGGTTCTGGTCCAGACCCCTGCGAGGAGTGTTTGGGCAGGAATTTGGACAAAAACAACATCTTCAAAGGGGCTGCACGCACTAAAATCGACCATACCACCGAACACCCGAATCAAACCAAACCCGATCGGACCGGACGGTCGCCATCCTTCGTTTCGAATCCCTCGGCTCCTCGGAAGGTGAGCACGTAGGACTCGTCCATGCCACAGAGGGCCCGGGCCTCCTGGGCCGCCTCCCTCACGCTGATGGTCAAATGAACATCCTGAAATGGGTGCTGACAGCCACTGATGGCCACTGCTTTGGAGGGTCCAGTCGTACCTTCGAAGTTACGACTGGACCCAAACATAACAGTGTCGAACACATCACCTTCTGAGGTACGGTACGACTGGATCCCCACGGCTCAGAGGTTGGGTGGTGAATGGTTGGTGACTGGTTGGGTGGGCCTGGGCGGTCTCAAGTCGTCCTGTCTGCATCTCATGAAACAGAGGTTTCACGGCAAGCGATATTAAAAACACATCAAACGCCTTATTATCATTTGAACTACGTACTCATGCTTTGACCCTGCACAATAGCTATAGCTATATCGTATTGGAAAGTGTAAATTTGTCTGAAAAATATCTATATACATATATTATATATATATATATATCTACAGTATGAGCGACGGACGCCCAATCTCTGGCGACCAAGGGACCTTTTGGGGATAAGCAGGGGAGATAGCTCCCTTCTTCTTTCCATTCCGAACCAAACCATACTGAGATTTTGTCCAATCCTCATATTGATTCTGGCAGAAGAAGAGTTCGTTGGATTAGTAGCTTCTTGCTTCTAGTAGCTTCATGCTCCTAGTAGCGATGCCCTTTGCTCCAAGGAAACCATCTTGATGGACCTATCCTGTCTGGAGATCGAAAAGTCGTGAGCGTAGGGTAGTCCATGCTCCTGAGCTCCTGGTCGACATATCTTTACATCTGGCTGGATCTCTTGTTTCAACTTTCTACCTCAAACTGATCTGAAGACCTTCGCCTCAATCTTTTGGGCTGATCCAACGGGCGACCCATCATAAAACCATCCAAGTCTCAAAGGCCTTCATCTCCGTGCCACGGAGAAACAGCCGAGCTTTCCGTGGAGCCTTCTCCTTGCTCACCACCACCATCTGCACCGTGCTCCCCGTTTGCACGCCGCAACTGCGCAAGGTTTGCTTGAGATCTTGGAGCTGCAAGCCCAAATGGTGGAGCCGCATATCGGAGACCTGGATCCCAAGCGGTGGAACAGAGGCTTCAGGACTCTTTGTTTCGACAAGCGCCGGAGTTCTGGCGTAGAAGGACATCTCCAAGATCGAACATATCCGATTCGTCAAAGCCGCAAACCAAGACACAAATGATCCATGATCCTATCCAATTACACAAGTGAAAATGAGTGAAAGGATCGCTTGGTGGGTCTTCCATCTGATCGTCCGATGTTCCCATGTGTCACCATGATGTCTTTCTGGGTCCCTCTTCTTCCATGTCGACCGTCGACGTTTAAAGAAGAGAGAACAACAAAAAACGATCGGTCGGACGGTCGGGTCGCTTGGGGGTCGACGAAACAGGCCTGGACGTTGGCCCCGAGGCGTGATTGTGTGATGCGCTCCTTGAGATCTTGAACGCTCATGCTTGGCTTCAAGGTCACAACCTCCTCGGCACCGGCCATCGAGGCAATCGTCACACGGATCAGCGGTTCCTGGAGGCTTCGGGTTGGTCTCGGATGGGCCGGGAACCCCCCAGGAGTTGGTGAAGCAATACGGGACTGCGGTGCCGCAGAACTTCTCCGCCATTTGGGTGTTTGCCAATAGTAACAGAAAGAGATCCTTGCCTTTGAAGCATGTGTATAGATAGCTCATGTAATGTTTTTTTGGGTACTGTGTATATATACTGTATATAGTATTTAATTTATACAGAATGTATACAATTATACGGCACATATCATGTGCGTCGGTTGCTGGATAGGTCTATGGTTCTGGCAGCTCTGACCTAGCAATCCCTTTTCGCAAACAGCGGAAGAAAGACTAATCTCTGACCCAGCCGTCTAGCCACAGCTGCATGACAACTGGCCACTCATGACATATCCTGACATGTGACATGTCCTCGTGTTTTCAAACTTGCACCGGGATTGAACCTAAAAGGGAGAACCACACTGGGCAGGGATTCCCCAAAAAGCCGGGAACTTGAAAACCCATAAACATCCTAGTATAGAAGTCTTACGGAGTGGACAAGATTGGGGAACCTCACCCAAGCTTCCATACGTTTCCTGCACATGTTCTTCCATCAGTCCTCAACGGTTTTTGTAACCGGGAAGGAGGCGCTTGTCGTCTTCACGTCCAAGTGGTAGTAGCTGGGTGTATGGCTTAGATACTGAGCCAGCTGCTGGGAGGGCTCAGGGGCATGGCCAGTGTAGTAGGCAATCGTAGGTCCGTTCACCACGCAAACAGTCATAGGCGCAAGCGGCTTGCGGAAGATCCTTTTTTCAGTTCAACTATGGCTGGCTTGTGCACGTGGCTAGGGAGTGCGGACAGGATTGCACACCTCGCAAAAAATAGAAAAAACTGGTCAATGCCATGGTTTTCCCGGGCTTTCATGTGGTGCAGTTTTTTTGCGCCGACAATCTTAAGGGGCCCTCTGAGAATGAAGAGGTGGTAGTCTGGGTCTTGAAACACTACTGCATTGCTCGATCCTTCAAAAGTCCCATGATCCGTCAGAAATAGTTAGCACCGGACTCCACCAGAAACTGGGCACTGCAGTGGGAACCCCATCTATTCCTTAACCCATCTTTTTTACTCTCAAAACTCTTGGCTCAAGCCCCAAGTGCTGGTTGAAAGAGTTCACCTTTTTTTACACAAACTGAACTGTGAATCTCTGAAGGCAGATCAACCGCGAAATCTGTTTCTTACATTACATGTAACATTTTTTCACCTTTGGATTTCACCAAGACTGGGCGGCGTATCGCCACGTCGCCGCCACGTCGCCGCCACGTCGCCCACGGCGTCGCCCGTTTCCGCGCCCGGCGCGGAACTCCGATGGTCTGGCACCTCTTGCCTGGGCTCTGTGAGGAGCGAAAATAGGTATTGCACTAACATGGATAGAGTTGGATCGGCAAAGGTGCAATGTTTTTGTATGTCTTTACGGCGCATCATTTTTTAACAGTAATACGTGGGACTGGAGAGGGGATAATGTATGGAGGCAGCGTGTGGGAGGAGATAGTAGCAAGACATCAAGATGCCCTGCGTGTTATGGGGGAAAGGAGACAGCACATTCCGTGAAGTGTAGGAACAAGTACTGCAAGTATCTAGAGCAGGAGTATCAACGAATTGTTCCGAGGAGGAGCCAAAGGGAATTGAGACTACCGATGGAAAGGATGAGTTTTTTTTGCCCGAGCCTCAGGAAGAGCCAGAGAAGTCAGAGAAGCCAAAGATACCAGAGCCAGAGAGAGAGAGAGAGAAAGAGAAAATGAGAAAGAGAGAAAGAAGAAAGAATATGAAGAGCTTCATCGAGAGCATGAGAGAGAGAGAGAGTCAGGGAGAGAGATTTCCTGAAGAGGTACCGATGAGAGGGTGAAGTATCCAGAGTGATGGCTATGAGCCAACCCAAGTTCTAAACGGATGTGAAGTTCCTGAGTCGCATGGAGATTGATATTTTCCAGAAAGTACCAGAAAGGAGGAAGAATCGGAATCATTACCATTGGGAGGTAGATCTTGACAAGCTTGTGCGTCGAGTTCACCGTCGAAGTCGAAAGATTTTGCCTGCAGCAACTTCACTGCCGATGCCGGACCGAGGAGCAGCTGGTGGGTATATTATTCAGAAGACGTCTACGTCGATGCTCTTGATGAAAGGCCAGTCGATGAGATTCCCCCAAATCAGCTTAAGGCTCATGTGACAGTGAAAGAATTGGAAAGCTTTTTCAGATTTGGCCAATTCCATTGCGAGCTTCTATATAAGATCTCGGAAAGGAGTTGTGGGAGACAGTGAAAGACCCTTGACACGATGTTCGGATGAGGTTGAGACGTTCCATCTCAAGAGGGGGTGTTGGAGTATAGTCAGAGTCAGTATAGTAGAAAGGAACTCCATTCGATTCATTCAGAGTTTGGTTTGGAGGACGATGGATCGTTCTTCTGCTTGCCGTCCAGAGCGACTTCAGACACAGGTGAAGGTCCATTGAATGTGGATGCTACATTTGAGGGAATGCACGCAAAAATTGCCCTAGAAAAGCGCAAGACTGGTCAAGTTGTGAACAAGAAGGAAGCTCAGGAGTATTGCGACTACGATGGAATCCGAATCATTTCCACAAGATGGGTCGTTGTGCATAAGCATAATGCTATCAACACCACTTCTTTCTCAGCTTTGCGATCGAGATCCAGAAGAAGATCGGAAGCCGTTGTCACCCGAAGCGGCAGCGACATTCCGTAATTAAAGGGTTGCACAATCGAGACCCGATCTATGTTGATTGAGTTCGATGCTTGCTCGAGGACAAGCTCAACCACTTGCAGTGCATGAGACAGCGATGCGTGCGAGTATCCATTACATCCGATCTGTATCCGATCGAAAGTTGAAGTTCAGAAGTTACGACTACTCAGGAGTTCCGAGGATCATGTCCTATATCGATGCCAGTGGGGCAGCTGAGAAGTCAACAAATCGGAAGAGACTTCAGGATCAAAGCTTACCAGCTTACCTATAGTAGATTGCAGCAGAGTGTAGCCTGTAGTATATCTGAAAGCGGTGTTCAGTGAGTGGAATACTTTCCCAAGGCATCCTGCGAGTGGAGGAGCAGCAGCTCAGCGAATAGGTTGGGTATGGTTGGGCCATGACCGTCTTCCCAAGCTATCAGCTTATGACGAGATCTTATGAGACTTAATTGATGATCTATACAAACGATTCTTCATGGTCTTCGTGGTCTCCTTTTCTTCAATTGCTTCAAAATCACTGGTCTCAAAACTCCCAGTGGGAACGGGTGCTGTGTGGAGCTCCTGGATGGTTTTCCTTCTTTTGCACCCAGTGAGCTCCAATTTACTGATTCAGGCTTTTCCAGTTTGGAGCATCACGAACAGAAATATACAAAGGGACAATGATGACATTACATTCAGATTGGAGGCAAGAAACAACTCACACCGAAAAGCGAAGCTCTGTCAACATGCAAATCCAAAATGAAAAACAGTCATGAACGCATACAGGGAGCTCAAACGACACAAATGGTTGCCGGATGCATGTTTCAGTGAAAAGACGCAGTAATCAACAAATATCGTATCAAAAAGAATTGCCGCTTTAGGGGTTACAAACATATGCTCAAAGTCCATGGGGAAAGATGCCATTTAACGGCTAAGGACGCCGTTTGCAAGCCTTAAAAAACGCCGTGTCTTTTTGGTCTCTGCCTGGTCACCTGGTCACAACAAAAAACACCGTCGGAAAAGACGCTGTAACGGCATTGTTTCTTGAAAAGGCTATTATTTGTGCCGGTTCCTTTATCCAGGCCAGCACGCAGAATGCAATCAACACAGCCACCAATCTATAATGTCCCCGGCCCATTGTCTAGATCAGATAGGTAGTCATAACATTAATCTTTCGGTGCTTCTTCACACTCTCCCAATGGAAAAAAAAAGCAAACCATCGAAATCAACTGGCCATCTCTGTTTCTCGTCTCCCGTCCGCCCTGGTGTCTGGCTTTCTTCGGGGCACCCCTCGGTCCTCCGTGGAACCCCCCCCGTTCCGACCGGGTCTCCGACGACCTCTGGGCCTTGGTCGGATACGAGAGCGAAACGAGCACCGTGAGGCGTGACCTTTGCCATCCATCCACTGGATGGATGACAAGGGCCATCCGGACTTGGAACTCCAAATGACGTCCGCTTTTGCATGAGGTGTGGTCAGTCAGGTCTCAGTCCTTGGAAGGCAAGGTCAAAGAAGGGAAGAGCAGAGGCAGAGTAAGAAGCGCAAGCTCGAATAACTATCAGCGGGTATCTCGCCACAAAAGACCAAAACCAGGTGACACTAGGTGTTTCATGGTGTTTCGTATCTTCACGTCTCTGTACGTCACGCCTATCTTGGGACAAATAGCCCTTTTTCCGATCGACCCAGTCCAATGTTAGTCTCATTAAACAAATGTCCGGACCGTCCGGAAAGTCCAATCCCGCAATGAAGGAGATGGTCAGAGGAGCAAACCAATGAAGTCGCCAAACGATGTCGGAAGACAGAACACGCAAATGATCTGTGCAAGAACCTCCTCACT